CGGATCGGCCGTTGACACCGGACTGGGTTAGGTTAGGTTAGGTTAGGTTAGGTTAGGTTAGGTTAGGTTAGGTTAGGTTAGGTTAGGTTAGGTTAGGTTAGGTTAGGTTAGGTTAGGTTAGGTTAGGTTAGGTTAGGTTATGTTAGGTTAGGTTAGGTTAGGTTAGGTTAGGTTAGGTATTTTTTTTCCAATAAGTTTACTCTACAGACTCGAAGTCCGTACCTTTTTTTTGCTTTACTTTATTTTATTAACTTTTAAAATACTGTTATAAATGTACTCCTTACACTACTTACATTTCTTAAATATTTAAGCCTAAGCAGTGAGTTCACATATATATGTTTATATTTTTTTTTTTTATTTCTATTGTCTTACAATCTTAAGATCTACAAACTGATATGCTTACATGCGACATGCACTTACACGCTATAATTTTTTTTGACACTTTTTTGTGTATTATTATTTTTTTTTTTATTTATGTCTATTGTCTTACATTCTTAAGATCTACAAACTGATATGCTTACATGCGACATGCACTTACACGCAATATTTTTTTGGAATCTTTTTTTTTTTTTTTGTTAATTAAAAATAATAATTTTCGACCCACTTTGTGTTTTTATATGTATTTTTTTTTCCTCTTTTTTTTTCAGGGCTTCCACAATAGCTTCGTCTCTGTTTCTAATTGCCATTTTCAGATTATATTCTTTGATTCTTTTCGTTGTCGCAGCCATTGCGCTCTCAATCAGCCTCCCAGTTGCATCGTCGCAAACGTCCGTGTAATAAACACAGCTTTCTGTGTGCCTGGACACTGCCACTACTGCGTGTTGGACGCTGTCATAAATTTTGAGCTTCTCTGTTGTTGTCCTCATTATGACCACTCTCCCGTATGTGAGACCTTGGGCCTCATGTACGGTTAAAATTCGCGACCCAGGACCCGAACCATATCCCTGGCTGGTAAGGGACTCCTTTTCTGCTTGCGTAAATGCAAGATATAAGGTGTCGGGCAGGGTACCTGGTATGACGACTCCCGTGTACCTCTTCCTTTCTAGTGAGTGCACCTGAGATCTGGATGAGTAAATGCCACTGTAGATTTCATTCAGGGCATATGCCACATCCATCGGATTCCGGTGCGTACACAGGAGTTCTTGGCTGATAGTGGTCACGAGGCTTGGGCGAGTATATTGCATCGCAAAGAGGTTTTCCCTGTCGATATAAGGGAGTTGATTGATGTCACCAATAAGCAGTATTTTTTCCGCTCCACTTAGTCGCATTGCCATTACTATGGCCCCGAAATGGTTCATGAGAGCTTCGTCGACTAAAAGTCGAGTACATCTTCCCCTTTTGCCTCCTCATACCATTTACTAAAACTGAGGCCATAGTGCGCACTTTTGTTTTTGCGTCAGTGGCTATGCGGTTGGCTAACTTTTCTCTAAGATCTTTAGCTGCTTCTGTTGTTGTTGTGACAATCAAATCATCCTCCGCATCGAATTGGTTTATAACCCAAGTTGTTTTGCCACATCCCGGGACTCCATTGACCCAATTTATCGTCGGCACCGTCCAGTTTTCCCAAGAATCTCCCAATGCACAGGCTCCCGAGATATTAAAATTTTGAGTACACATCTGAAAGTGACATATTCAACATAAGCTCCACGGAGAAATTGCTTAAAAAATAGCAATTTTTGAGATACGCGAGTGGAAGTGCTGTGAAAAAGTTTTTGAGTGTGCAGTTCATCAGTGTAATTGGGGAGAACTCTGTGCATTGGATGGTTTAGGAGCAGTAGCCTCTTAACTTTGGGGATAAATAGTGTCGACACCATCAGCAAAATTGCCAAGTACTCATCAGTACTTGAGAGCCGCTATAGAGATCAGTAAAACGGCGAAAAAATCAAGAAAATCGGCCCACAAACACAGAAGTTATTGACTCCTTAAAATTAACAACTTAACCTCAAACCACGTGGTTGCAACGTGCTTTCAGACGTTGAGGTTAAAGCGAGTCAGTGAACACGAGGCGTCCGGCGACGGTGCAGACTTCAGTGGAGCCTTCGAAGACGGACCGAGGAATCCCTCAAGCATACAATCGCCGCAGCTGGAGACACTTTCAACGGCCATCAGGTAAACCCCGAGGGAACTCCTAGACCCCTTACTCCTGACCACCCGAGTTTGGACTCATTTGAGTCAGTTTCTCAAGACCCCACCACACATATCACCTCCCCCCCCCATATAAAACCCCTATCCTTGAACCCCCCCACCTTTAACACCCTCTTTAACCCTTCCTACCCTCCTAACCCCTACAATCTTTAATTTTATACCAGATATACGCTCCTTACGAATTCCCCCCACCCCCCCCCCACCCCCCCCCCCCACCCCCCAACTACCTACGCCCCCCTCATTTTTTATTGTACCATATATAAGCTTCCCGCGAATTTACCCCCCCCCTCCCCCCTCGCCCCTCGAGGCTTACCTCTCCCCCGCGAGCCATAACTAGTTTACCAGAGGAGCTAGACCCCCCGTGTAAGGGCTCATTTGAATCAGGAAAAAGAGCTCTACCTTCTGGCCCCTACAGAATTTTGATTTTCCACCATAGTCCGATACCAACCCGGACAATAACACCTCAAGCATACTCCAGGACTCACAGCATACCAACCGGAGATCCCACAACGGGCTCTTTCTTCGCGTCCATCGTACTCTTCACTGCAATTCAACCATCGAAGAACACCAGCAGTGAGTTCACAAAAAAAAAATATAATAAATATCTTCAAATATTAAAAAATATATAATACTTGTATAATATTTTATAAGGCATTACCTATATTTATAGCTACTAAGGCAACTTACAATTAGAGAATCTTTTAATTTTTGTAATTATGTCAGGAAATAAAGTAATCATGTCGGATGTGGAGACTGCTTCTTCAATCAAGTCCTCCCAAAACCTTTCTGTTGCTCCACCTAGACCTCCACGATCGCTGCGGGAAAAAGTACTTACAAAATCCAGTTTATCAAAAGCAACACCTAGCGAGAAGTTGTCGCAGCCATCATCTCATCCCGCAACAGGAAAACGTCCAGCGGACTCTGCTCCGACAGACGCATCTACAACAAGAAAAAATGCCTCTTCGCACACCCCCACTCTGGGAACTAAAATGTCGCAAACTTCAGTTAAAAGCGACAGCTCGATCCGATCCTGCGTTTGTGACCCGGTAGATGCGGCTATCGACAAAGTAGCTAACTGGAAGCAGGAAGAAATTCCTCCACTTCCAGTTTTATCCGACGAAGAACTTTCGATCACATCTGCGCCGGAATCACCACTATCGGAGGCACCGGAAAAAGGAAGACCCAGCCTGCTTTTTAACTCCAACAGGCGACTGGGGGTGGAAATGGATATGGCAACAAAAGAAGCGAACGAAATGCTTCTGAGAGGGAAGGAAGCGCTAGAAATGGCAGGGAATATGAAGAGGGAGTGTAAGTTAACAGCTTTGGAGAGTCTGCAGTCCCTCTACGAGATGGTCCTGGCGCTGTCAGATTCCAGATCTAGACATAAGCATAATCTAGAAAGGGAACGCTCACGCAACGCTCAAGAACTAACGCGAGTGGAGCGCGCCCATAACAAGATCATCACCCAGCTTATGAAGGAAATGGCTTCCGAACTAGGCCATGCCAGGACAGATATAAAAAATACCCTCCAGGAATCCAAGGCGATACGGGGTTGGTTGAACTTCGAAACCCAAGAGCCCTTCCACAAAACGAGCGACCTACTCAAAGCTGTGACGGACTTAGACAAGCGCATAGGTGTGATTCAGTCGAACTTGAGTCAGCAGAAGCAAGAAGGTGCAGACAACATTTTATCTCACCTAAGAGTGGACCTTACTGGAGTAAAATCTAGTGTGGAAACACTCAAACTTCAATTGGACGAAATGCGCAGAGTCATCGAAAAGTCCGAAAACAACACCAAGAAGGTTCTGGAGACCGGCCAAAAAACCCTGCTACGCCTGGAGTCACCACCATCCCACCCCCTCAGAGGAAATAAGTAAAACGTTGGAACATGAGCTGAATGGAATGAAGAGTTCGCTGAAGGAGATAGATACAAGTATCAGATCTGGACTTTCAATCTTACCTTCAGCGGACTCCAGTAAAATATTCCAAACCAGCATAAGGGAACATCTTCAACCAATAGAAGAACAGTTAGGTGCAATGTCATCCGAGCTGAGGACGATGAGAGAGCAGAAGCAACGGGCCCCATCACCTACAGCCCCAAGTCTAGCAACAGAGCTTGCACAAACTGGCGAAGCAGCAACAAAGCCAAAAAAAGACATACGCCAGAGTGGCTGCAAGCCCTCCCCTTCCTAAACCCAATCACACTCTCATTATCACATCAACTGATTCGAAAAACACAGCCGAAAATATCATCGCGAGAATCAGGGAGGCTCTAGACACAAAAAAAGACTGGAGCCAAAGTAGATAGGGTAAGGAAGGCGAAAAACCAAAAAGTCGTCCTCAGTTGCAACACCAAGGAGGATCTTAACCTTGTCCAAAATAGAGTTAAGACAAATAAAAGTTTAAAAGTAGAGGTTGCCAGAACAAACAATCCCTTGGCGATAATCAGGGACGTGCTCTCGTATCACACAGACGTCGAAATCGTGGAAAATATACTGGCGCAGAACAAACACCTTCTGCATGACGTCGATGAGAAAGAACGAACAGTCAGAGTTCGATACAGGAAAAAGGCGAGGAATCCACAAGAGTGCAATCCTGTACTTGAGCTCTCTCCAAAAGTGTACAGGCGCTTCATTGATGCGGGTAAAATTTACATCGGCCTCCAAAGAAGACCAATAATGGATCACTCTCCCCTTGTGCAATGCACAAAATGCCTCGGTTTTGGCCACACAAAAGCAGTGTGCCATGAAAAGGAGGAACTCTGCAGTCACTGCGGAGAGACCCATTCATGGGACAAATGCCCGATCAGACTGGAGGGGAGACCCCCCCCGATGTAAAAATTGCCTCAAAGCGCACGGTGCCGATACGGACCTGGCACACAATGCTTTTAGCTTTGATTGCCGGGAAAAGCAGAAGTGGGATGCAATAGCACGGTCCCGCATATCTTACTGCTAAGGGCAACCAAAATAATATAAACTCCAACATTAGTAGGTCAGACCTCAAAATCATTCAGGTGAACTTGCAACGCTCCAGGGTAGCAACGGCGGAACTACTTCAGGTTGCATCGAATAAAGGAGTGTCGATTACCATAGTACAGGAACCCTATGTGGGAAAAAATGGCGTTATTAAAGAACATCCTGGCACGCGAGTAGTTCAATGCAGCCTGAATAGACAAAAACCGGTAAAGGCCGCAGTGCTGATCTTCGGAGATCAGCTGGAGATTATCCATGATCCACAGCTGGTTACCGAAACAGAAGCGGCAGTACTTCTCGTTGCAGGAAATTTAAAACTGGGAGTCGTGTCAGTTTACCTCGAGGGAGAGCAAGATATAAATCCCTACCTTAGGCGAATCCAAGCAGCTTGCGCAAAACTTCACACAAACAACATCATAGTGGCTGGAGACATAAATGCTTGGAGCCAATGGTGGGGAAGTAATTCCGAAGATGAAAGAGGCGCGGCATATAACACCTTCCTCAATGAAATGGATCTCCATATTCTGAACACGGGTGACACGCCTACCTTCGAAACATACAGAAGGGGGGAGAATTTGTTCGAGCATAGTAGACGTCACTGCTTGCAGTTCGTCACTTCTCGGCAATGTGGAGGACTGGAGAGTGGAGAGAAGCCTAATTACATCAGACCACAACGCGATTATGTTTACACTGCGCACCAAAGCGGTCTTGACACAATTGCGGCCCTGCACAACGCGCAAATACAACACCAGAAAGGCAAACTGGTCGGACTTCTCAACACGCTTTAGATCCCTTCTAAAAGAAAGAGCCATAACTCCCACACTAATTGAGGAGGCGGAAATCCATGACGATCTGGAATCCATCACAATAGCCTACACAAAAGCAATCCAGGAATCTTGTGATGAGACTATTCCGAAAATGGGCATGAGGGGGGGTGAATGCAACGCCCCCATGGTGGTCAAAATCCCTCAACCAACTCAAAAAAGAAGTCCATAGGAAAAAAAGACGTATTAGAAATGCGGCACCAAGTCGAAGACAACACGTAATAGACGAATACATAAGTTTTAAACAACAATACACCATAAAAGTTGAGGAGGCGCAAACCGAAAGCTGGAAGGAATTCTGCACGACACAGGAAAGGGAGAGCATGTGGGATAAAATTTACAGAGTTATCCGGAAATCCTCAAGAAGATATGAGGACATGCTCCTAAGAAACATCCAAGGGGAAACTCTGACACCAAAAGAGTCGGCAGAACTCTTGGCCCAAACATTTTACCCTGACGACTGTGTGGAAACAGATCAGCCATACCACACCAAAATACGAGAGCTGACGGAAATTAACAAAGACCTAGGTTTGTCAGAAGATGACCCACCTTTTGCAGAAGCGGAGCTTGAATCAGTGTTACAAACACTAAACCCCAAAAAGGCCCCTGGACCAGACGGGCTAACAGCTGACATCTGCTCCGCTGCAATAAACTGCAACAGGAAGGTATTCTTAGCGATAGCCAACAAGTGCTTGAAATTGGCGTACTTTCCCAAGCAGTGGAAAACTGCACATGTGGTCATCATCCGTAAGCCAGGAAAGGATGACTATACACATCCAAAGTCATACCGACCAATAGGTCTCCTGTCAGTACTCGGAAAAATAGTCGAGAAGTTGATGGTGGGCCGACTCCAGTGGTACATCCTCCCAACCCTTAATAAAAACCAGTATGGGTTCATGCCTCAACGTGGTACAGAGGACGCCCTCTATGATCTATTGAAATACATCAAAAACGAAGCGAGGAATAAGAAGATCGTCCTTGTTGTTTCATTAGATATAGAGGGAGCCTTTGACAACGCATGGTGGCCAGCATTAAAACTGCAACTAGCCAAAAAGAAATGTCCCAAAAACCTCTACGATATGGTTGGCTCTTACCTTCAAGATCGAAAAATCGTAATTAACTATGCCAGAGCAACGAGTGAGAGGGGAACTACGAAGGGGTGTGTTCAAGGTTAGGTTAGGTTAGGTTAGGTTAGGTTAGGTTAGGTTAGGTTAGGTTTTTTTTTTTTTTTTTTTTTATGATTTCCGCCGGAGGGTACACCCCCACCGACGGGAGTATATTGTCAGATTCCACAGATAAGTTTCGCTTTGTTTTAAAATTTTTTTTTTAATATAACTATTACACGTACGGAGCTGGTTGCGCGTTTCTGCGATTTGATACATAACGCGCTTTCCTTCTCCTCATATTACTACAATTCTCAACATTTTTTTTAACATATTATACATAGGTGTTGTTCGGTGAAAATAATCGTTTGATTGACATTGACGTTTTGTTATTTATAGACTCGCGCATGCCGCGCACCCCGTTAGACTAAAAACGGGATGACAATAAAATGAAAATAATGAAATGAAATTTAAAATAAAAACTAAAAACAAAAAAAAATTGTCTTAACTTTAAACTAGAGCTGTTATATAATGTCTCTAGTGTAATGAATTGGTACAATGATGACAAACTGGTTAAATAATCCTATAATATAAAACAAAAGTGGAATAGTGTAGTCTTATCACTAAATACGGACAGAGTACAGAGTAGCATAAAGAGAGTGAACTTAAAGGAAATAAATACACAGAATAATGTTAAATCTAAACACAAAAATGACGGAATAATTTAGTGACAATGAAATTGACAAAGTAACATATAAAGTATTCTTATGTCTAAACATATACAAATTGTTATTAAGACCGTTAAATTCGAATAAAATAAAATTTAAATGGAATAAACACACAGGATAATCTTAATACTAAGCACAATAATAACATTTATATAACAAAATAACATAATAACAATAAAATGAGTGTAAAATAAATCAAGTGTAATCTTAATTCTAGGCACAAAATAACATGGTATAATGACACAGTCAAGTAGAAAATTTAAAGAAGACTGTGAGAAGTCTTTGTTCCATGAGCAACAAAATAAAACAAAATGGTATTCTTAAATTACTATGGACAAAATGATATAAAATAAAACTAGAGGTAATCTTATTCCCAAACATGGCCAAATGCTTTGTTAACGATGGGGTAAAATATTAAGAGTATGAGGGGTAATCTTAGTCCAAAAAAAATTTAAATGACATATGTAATACAATAACTATGAATAATTTTTATTTAAAGATTAGTTTAAAGAAAAGGTACTTAATAACTAGTTGTTTCTATTTACATATGTACAGCTTTTATTAAAGTTTTTGAGGTTTTTAATGATGCTATTAACAAATTGCATGAAGGAATCCAGAAGGGATTCCTTCTTCATTAAGTTAATCAGGTTAAACGGAGAGGTTCTTAAGTTTTCACACCTCATCACATGACTAAGTCTTTGTACTGAAAATGCAGGGCAATGCTCTATAAGATGCTCCAGCGTCTGTGGGGTGTAATTGTTGCATGGGCAATAATTATTATCGGTTATTTTAAAACGGCATAAATAATATTTGTGGAAACCGTGGTTGGTGAGCACCTGGGTGAGGTAAAAACTTGGTTTGGTGAGGGTGCGTAGCCTCTCGATATCCTCCAGTGTCGGAAGCAGTCGTTTGGTATGGCCCTGTTCTGCGCTATAATACCTAGCTTGCCAGGTTGCACGGTTTTGAGTTCTGATGATTTGTTTAAGGTACGAAGTGGGATAGGCCGAGTAATCAGGCCGTCTGTGTAACTTTGAGCCGGCATTCGCAGCAATGTCTGCTGCCTCATTACCAGCTATGCCTGAGTGACCCTTGACCCATCCCAACTCTATGATGCCTATTTTACTGTGTTCATGAATAATTTGGTGTATTTGTGTGATAATGGGGTGTGTGTTGCTTCTGTTCTGTATGGCATGTATGGATGAGAGTGAGTCAGTGTAAATGATTGTGTGCGCATATTTGTGTTCTCTGATCCACCTGCATGCCTGTAAAATGGCAAACAGCTCGGCTTGGAACACTGTGCATGTGTAATGCAGTTTAAATTTTTTGGTGAAGACTATTTCATCAAGATTTGTTGGAAGATATCCAACAAATGCGGCCCCCACTGCACCATCCTCCTGTTTACTTCCATCCGTAAATATACAGTGTGTGGTCTGTCCATGTAGAGGTTGAATTGATAGGTAATTTGTATAGGTTCTGTTCGTTAGGGAGATACGTTGGGCGGGATGAAGTAGCTCGGAGACGGGGGTGGGTTTTTCTAACGGAATATCGCTGGGGATGCGGTCAGAGATACCCCGGAGCCGAGCCCTTTCCACAGCGCAGACTTCTCGGACTTTCAGGTCCAGAGGTACGAATTGGGCTAACGCTAGTGCAGCGGCTGTGGAGACCGTACGGAATCCCCTAATAGCCTTGATGGCAAACCCGCGCTGCATGCTCTCGAGTGCCCCCCTGATGCACCTTTTCTGGGCGACGTGACCCCAAATTCCCGCAGCGTAGGTGATCGTTGGCACGATGACCTGCTGGTAGATGGTGCTGATGTTTTCAGGATGGGCTCCCCAAGTGGGTCTCGAGTACATGCAGAGCGTGTTGAAGATCCGCACGGCCCTGTTAACTACGTGTTTCACATGTTTACCGAAATTCAATTTCTCATGGAGGATTACTCCTAAAAGTTTCACCTCTGGAACAAAACAAAGTCGGTGTCCGTCGATGTTAATGCTGGCTGTCTTAGCCTTAGGAGTGAAGGCAATGAGCTTAGTCTTGGTAGGGCCGAATGCCAACTTGACGCTTCTTCCCCACTCGATTATGTGATGGAGAGCCAAGTTGGCAGCGCTTTCCAGTTTGCCCGCACTCGCGGCCGTAACAACCAGCAGGACGTCGTCCGCAAAGGCCTGTATGTGGCAACCCGCTGGAAGCTTGGTGTCGAGTAATTCGTCTAATATTATGTTCCAGAGAACAGGGCCGCACGTGGAGCCTTGGATGCAGCCCTTAGACATCGTCTTGGTGACCCGCCCCCCTGCAAAGTCGAGAATGACTTCACGATCGCGGACATAATCCTGAATGAGTCCAAAGATGTTATTAGGACATTGGATATGCCGCAATCGGTGGAAAAGTGCCGGCCACCAAGCGTTATCAAAGGCTGCTTTTATATCTAGAGATATAGCGATACTTAGTTGCTTGTTACTTTTCGCTTGTCTTATTATATCGAGCGCAGTGTTTATAGCTTCGCACGTGTTGGTCTGTTCCCAGAAACCGAACTGAAATTTGTTTAACAGATTATTTCGTTGTGCATGGTATGTGACTCTTCTAATGAACAGTTTTTCCAGCAGCTTGCCGAACACAGGTATCAGGCCAATAGGACGAAATGACTCTAATGCGCTGTAGTCAGACTTACCCGGCTTCGGGATAATTTTGACAAAAGCGGTTTTCCACTGGTTAGGGAAGTGTTGGAGTGCAAGACAGCGGTTAAGAATGTCAGTCAAGAGTCTAGGATAGTCTGTCGCAAACTGTAAACATATGTCTGATGTTAAGTTGTCGAGTCCGGGAGCCTTTTTGGGATTCATTTGTCTTAAACACTCCAACACCTCCTCCTGAGTGAAGGGAGGGTCGTAATGGGACTGAGGAGAGTTGGTCATGTCAGATCTTAATTCGTGATGTCGTGGTAAGGTTTCGGGTGAGTCACCCGGGTAAAAATGGTCCAAAAGTGCCTTAGCAGTCTCCTGGCTATCGGGGGTGTAAGTACCGTCTCTGTTGAGGGTAACTGGTGGGCGCCTAGGGGTGGCAGTTTTGAGTAGCCTATTTGTGAGTGACCAGACATTTTCCTTAGTTTGCAACTCGCAGAACTCACGAAAATGCCTGGTCGACTCATCACGCATTTTGCTAGCGTAAAGTTCCTTTATAGATTTGCGTGCCTCCAAAATCTGGTCCAAAGGCAAACCTTGGCGTTTAGCAGCATGAAGCTGGTGGTGCAAATCCACCACTTCCCGCTTGATGGTCTCCAATTCCTCCGTCCACCAAGGAGCCTTCGGCTTTGTTCCCCGGCCTTTAACATGCATGCTTGCCCGGCATGCAGAGTGGATCACATTAGTGAGCTCGGAGATGACCTGATCCAGATCATCAACGTTCAAGATAGAAATGTCCTGTTCAAGTATGTTTGTGAGTGTCATGTGAGTGTGCAGTTTGTCCTTAAAAATAGGCCAACAGGCTTTGTTTGATTTGTATAAAAAAGTGGAGTTCTGGTGAGTGTGTGTTGTGTCGGTTGTGTTGAAATCAATGCAGTAGTCTATAGCATTATGCTGGGAAGTTGGGCAGATATTCAAATTAACACGCCATTCCGAGATGTAATCAATGATGGAGCCAGAAACAAATGTGAGATCGATTATTGAATAGCGATCTCGCCCGTGGGTGACCGTTTCAAACGTGGGTACGTTGCCAACGTTACATACATACATATCATTGCTTTGTATAATATCTATGATTTCGTTACCCCGTAAGTTAGTTTTCCCGCTTCCCCAAGTTGGGTGCCACCCATTGAGATCACCCCCCACTATCTTGTGAACATCACCTGTGTCTTTAAGAAAGACATCTAATTTATCGAGCGTTGCTAGCTCGTCCCTGCCTGGTTCCACATATATAGATGCAATATAAATATTGCGATTTCCAGTAGTAAGTTTGATAACGCAGAAGTTGGATGTTGAAAACTGAGATAATCCCAAGATGGACCCGCATCCTGGTTTTGCCAGGATGCAAGCCTTAATCCTGCTGCCCGTGAAGAACTGGTATGTGTCAATTCCAATCACTGATTTAACCTGATCTCCAGAGCCAACGTATGGCTCGGAGATGAGGGCGATGTCATAATCACCTGCCATGAACGAGAGAAGAATCTCGTGTTGCGCATTCTTGGATCGGTCGATGTTACACTATAAAATTTTTAATTTACGGTGTATATCCATAATCGACACGGTTATTAATCTTCTCCCTCATGGCTCGCAATCGTGGGCAGGTGTTTGAGTTGGCCGTGTGTTTGGTATCCATTTTTGTATTGAAGCGCGTGTTATGAGTGTGGCAGTTGTAGCATTTGACGCTGTTGGGCTTATCTTTATTGGGACATTTGCCCACATCATGCTCCGTGCTCGCACAATGTGAGCAGAGATTTTGGTCCGCAGTGCACCTTAATTTAGTATGACCGAACTGCAGGCACTTGTGGCACTGTAGGAACGGCGAGAAGCTAGCTACGTGGACTCGCTGATATTCGACACTGATTCGACCCATGTCGAGCATTTTATTGTATAGTTTGGGTTCTACTAACAATACCGCGTTGTACAAATTGGCGTTTCTGTTTTCACGTTTGAACCTCAACTTGAGGTTCTCACCACCACCATTGTTAATCAGTTCGGTTAATACTGTATTTTGGCGAATGATGGACTGAATTAAGTCATCGGCTGGAACATCCTTAGAGATTCCCTTAAGAATGACCATAGGTCTTAATTTTCGCACTGGTTCAGCTTTAAGCTCACTTTTCCCCTGAAGCCGCGTGAGGGTGTCTTTAAGCTGGGTCTCGTTGTCGAATTCAACCCGCAACTTATTGTTGGAAACTGGCTGAATTCTAGCAGGTGCGTAGTTGGAAGCGCGGTAATTAATGTTCTTTTTGAAGAGTTCAACGGCATCCTGGCGAGATTTCACTTCTACCGTAGGACTAATTATAATCGCTGGTTTGGACACTGAGGGGGGGATGCGGGGGGCAGTTGGCCCAGTGGGCGCCGAAGCCCCGCGAGCCACTGCAGCTGCCTGTGCATATGTCGGTTTATTGGCCATGACCAGTTTTTTCACGCCTGTGATCTCCTCCCTCACACATGATAGAATTTCCTCCTTCAGCTCGCTGTTGGAGGCTGGTGAGCTATGGATGGACGCGGGGTTGAGGAGACCAAAAAATATGCCCAGCTTTGTGAATTTCCTCCGCAGCTAGACTAATTAATCGCTTATTAGCAGCGGTCACGTTCCTGCCTTCATTGACCGCTGTGTTAATGCAGCTGGCGAGCTTATTCAACACATGAAGAAAGGTGTCTAAGTCCTTTGCCTCATCAGCTGAGGCTGGGAGGGGAGGAGTTTCTCCCTGCGACGGCGCCATATTCACACAAAACACATAAGTCTTTATAGAAAGTTGGTAACAAAAAAATTATAAATTATTTAAAAAAAAATGTCTATAAGTGGTTTATGTTTTGGTTTAAAGAGTACTACTGTAAGGTGGTGCCATTTTAATCTCAAAGTTCACACAAAAAATAAAAGTCAGTTTTCAGCCATATTATGTATATATATATATCAATCAATAACTTAGTCCTAGGGAGTGGGGAGGGGGGTTTCCAAAGGTCCAACAGGGAATATTATATATACCCGCCAAATACGACGTGAATGTTGAACTATGTTAGACCGTTATTTTGAACAGAAAAATTTTACATTTTGAATTTTGAAAAAAAGTTTGCAACTTTTTAACTACTAGGCGGAATATTCTGAAATTTTCAGGGTTTATAGTTTATAATATGCACTATTTATTGGCGGATTAAAACGGAATTAAAGGTGTATCCCTTCAAGAGATATTAAGCTTAAAAGATTAAAGTACCTTGATGAGATATGATGAAAAGTCTATTTCTGTCAAAACGGTTCAAGTGCGGGAAAATCTGTTTATATTGGCGAGTTTAGCTAATAATTGTCCTTCATAATCTGACTTCAGAACCAGCCACACGCTTCTGGTTTCCAAGATGGCCCACAACCTGGTTTATGGAAAACTGTTGGAAATTCGGTTTTTCCCGCTCGGAAAATGTTTAGATTTGGTATGCACTCGGAGCTCACATATATCCATCTATTTCACCAATAAACACTATACATCCTACATCAAAAATCGGGCGTAGGCCAGAAAATATTAATTTAAGGTCGCTTTTTTCACATTACTTTTTTTACCAAAATCGCTGCTTTATGCGGTTTTCACCATGTTATAAAACGACAAATTCCGCGTTTTTTGATATATAACATGTCACTATTGTACAACTTTTTACCACATTTACGAATTTTAATCGACGGAGCTAAAGCGTTTCGCTACTAACGCGGCGGCGTTCGGCGCGAGACTGGTTAGGTTAGGTTAGGTTAGGTTAGGTTAGGTTAGGTTAGGTTAGGTTAGGTTAGGTTAGGTTAGGTTAGGTTAGGTTAGATTAGGTTAGGTTAGGTTAGGTTAGGTTAGGTTAGGTTAGGTTAGGTTAGGTCAGGTTAGGTTAGGTTAGGTTAGGTTTTTTTTTTGTTTTTTTTTTTGTTTTTTTTTTGACCTCCCTGAGACTTTGGGAGACTGTTTTTACAATTTGTCTTATTTATCTTCAAAAACTCATTCATACATCATATCTTATACTCTGCTCGTCAGCCATTCAGCATCCCATTTTCATCTCGCTTACATCATCTTTCAATCATGGGCTGAAGGCCATAGTGTACTTACATTCTAATTGAAACACAAAGGGGGCGGGGACAGTGAAGGGGGGAACAATAAAACTTTAATTACATTCATCATTAATGCTAACTTAAGACTATGTTCCTAATTACAATTTATTTACAATTTATTTATGCTAATATATTTATATAACAATATAATTACTTAGCATAACTTACACTCTATTTCTTTTATTTACAGCAATGCACAGTTTTGTACAAAATTTGAGGAACAAGTCTCTATTTTTACCCAGTACAATATCCGGAAGCGTACTTACTTCCAGTTTGCAGTACAATAAGAACTCCAGCTTTTGCCTCTCACGGTCATGGGCCGGGCAGTCCAGGAGGACGTGGAGAACAGACTCCGAACACGCAGGATCGCAGACGCACGATGGACTCTCCTTACACTTGAAACGATGCAAGTACTCGGAGAATCCACCGTGCCCCGACAATACCTGAGTGACAAATGTGTCCACCTTTATTTTACCGATGACACGGTATGCGGCTATCGCGTCCGGGAAAAAGACCCGGGTGACACCGGCTGTTTCACCGGCCCGGTATCGTTGGTTCCATTCATCAAGCGATCGCATACGAATGCTTCGCCTGATGAATGAAACCGGGCAGCTGTCATAGTTGTAGCGGCGCTGTCGTCGCCGCCACAAGCGAAAACACACCGAAGCCTAAATCGCGCTATCAACATTCCGAATCATAAAGAGTATATATAGAACATCTCCGAATTATCACACGGAGCGTGAGCCGCTCCCCGGGCAGAACACCTTGCCCGGCGGGAGATCTCCCCTTTTCCTTCCACGGCCACAGTGGTGACCCCGACGTGATCTGAACACGCAACCAAACAACCTTCGGAAACTTCAAGCTTCATCATCGTCATAGAATACCCAACCCATTCGCTCCCGAGCAGATATCGTAGGCAGTCTTCATATCCTGCAAGCCATCTAGCTTCACAAGGTTCATCGCAGCACTGGAATAATAATGCTGCCTGTTCCTTCAAGCTACTCTCTGCGCCATACAGTGTTCGGCACGGCTCTGAGCCTTACTGCTCGCCTCTGCTTCACGGCACTCTCGCAGATTACTTGCCTTCTTCTCGACTCACCGCAGACTACAAGGCAATCCACTGGCACTTGCACATTCGTCGGCAACAAGGCTGCACTAACGACCTCCGGTCTGAGCAGAGGGGTGATGTAGCGGCGCTGTCGTCGCCGCCACAAGCGAAAACACACCGAAGCCTAAATCGCGCTATCAACATTCCGAATCATAAAGAGTATATATAGAACATCTCCGAATTATCACACGGAGCGTGAGCCGCTCCCCGGGCAGAACACCTTGCCCGGCGGGAGATCTCCCCTTTTCCTTCCACGGCCACATAGTCAAAACTGCGTTTAGACTTTAGCGCAGCTTCCTTGGCCAGATGGTCGGCACGCTCATTCCCTTCTAGTCCCGCGTGGGCTTTGATCCAGAACAAATTGACAAGTTTGTCCTGTATCGAAGCCCTGTGCAGGTGGCCCCGCGCCTCGACGGCCAGGGGGTGGAGGGCAACTGGATTTATCGTTGTCTGCAGTGCCGACAGAGAATCAGAATAAATTCCGATTGATCTGGCCGAGTTATCTGCGGCCGTCCGCGCCGCCCTGCATATCGCCAGGAGTTCCGCCTGGTAGACGGTGCAAAAGGACGGCAAAGTAAGCTTGAGGGTTTTGGTTTCGGCGGCGCCCCTCCATATGGATAACGCCGCACCCACCTTGCCCTCAATCTTACTGCCGTCCGTGTAGATATTAAGTTCGTGGTCAATATTTTCCGCGAGTTGTTCCTAGCCCGCCAGGCACTTGAACTCCAGGTCGATATGCTGAGCGGGATGCGGAGACCGCAGAGCCGAGGACATCCGTTCCACCTCCCGATCTCCTATCGCGTCCTGGGGTATACCCCTCCTCGCACCATACAGCGCCGCGGCTTTCGCGGACGCGCAGGTCAAGGGGGAGTATCCCAGCGAGCAACAGTGCTGAGTTCAGGGAGGTGGTGCGGTATGCCCTACACAGCTTCTGCGCAAAGCCCCGCTGGACCACGTTCAGCTGCTTTCGAACACCGAGCTTATCAACAGCCGGCGCCCAAACGGCAGCCGCATACAGTATCACGGGCTCAACCACCGCTCTGTAGATAGCGCGGATAACTTCGGGGTGGAGGCCCCAGCTCGCCTTCGCGGCTCTCGAAAGCTGGGCGTAGAAGGCTACGGCCTTCTTACACACATTCGCGACGTGCGTGTTGAAGGTCAGGCGCTGGTCTAGGACGACTCCTAGTAACCTGAGTTCTCCGACCATGCCAATGTCGACCCCGCCCATGTGGAGGCGTGGGGTGTCATACTTCAGTTTGCGCGTGATGACCATGGCACTGGTCTTGTGCGGCGCAAACCTTAGTTTTTTCTGAACTCCCCACTCCCTCACACGCTCGAGGGCGGCATTAGCACGGCTTTCGACCTCATGGGCCGTCTCACCTTCAAAGACCAGCACCACATCGTCAGCGAATGCCTGCACATAGTTATGTCTAGCCTCCAGCTCGCGAAGCAGTGGATCCAACAAGAGGTTCCACAAAATCGGCCCACCGATAGACCCCTGCACGCAACCCTTCTCGGTTTTCCTCACGTGCTCCTCCCCGCAGTACCGTGCGCGAACATGCCTGCCGCTCAGGTAGCTGCCCAGGAGCCTCCTGATGTTAAACGGCACTCGTTCCTCCGCCAGTCTGACTTTGATGCGTGGCCACCAAGCGTTGTCGAAGGCGCCCTCTATATCCAGTGACACAAGCGTCATCAATTTTTTGTTTTTTAAACCTAATCTGATGTGCTCAACTAGTGTATAGAGGGCGTCCTCGGTGCTCCGCTGGGGCATAAAGCCAAACTGGCGGGTGCTGAGCCTGGGCGCTATATGATATTTTAATCTGGCGACAAGCATTTTCTCCAGCACCTTCCCCAGCACCGGAAGGAGACCGATCGGCCGATACGACCGTGGTGTCGTATAAGTAATCTTCCCCGGCTTGCGGAGGAAGATTACCGTGGCCTCCTTCCAGGGCTCGGGAAAATGCCGGAGTTCGAGGCACCTGTTGAAAAGAGCGAGTGAGAGTTCGGGGTCAAATTCTATCGCGTGCAAACATATATCGGCGGTAAAACTGTCCGCGCCTGGAGCCTTCTTCGGATTGAAGGACCGGCAGGCCAATTTCAACTCCAAAGGGGTGAAAGGCGGGTCCGTCAATTCCGAAGAAGTTTCAGCGTCAAAGAGCTCAGCTTGTACCCTCACCCTTCGGTGCTCCTCGGAGTCATCCTCCTCGGAGTCCTCCGGGTAAAAGGT